ACAACTACCTGCCTGTTCAGCATGGCTACTGACACCTACTTGTGATATGATGGAGCCCAACATTGGCCCTTCCACTTATGCCACCTGTAGGAGAGGCATGGCCTTTCTTAAGTTCATTGAAAGAAGCTATGGTGATGGAGGAGGCCACCCCTCTCCCAGCCACCTTGGTTCCCTGGGTAGTTCCTTGGGATTAACTGAATGCACAGCACTGGGGAGTGCAATCTTTAAGGACAATACCCATTTGTATGTGCTGGAGCTCAGTGGAGAGTTGCTGCTCTTCATCCCTTAATTGGGACATCCCTGATGAAAAATCCAACCCAAGGATCACTAGACCTAAGGAAACTTCAAGTGGTCATCTTACTACTGGCCAAATTGGCCTCATCTGCATATGTTCACAAACTCTTGCATGATTCTGTAAGAGATGCCCCTTTGTGGTAAAAAAAAAAAAAAAATCTCTGGGAATCTCTTGACTCAGAGATATTCAAAATAGAAATAAAGGTAACCCTCGTCTGTACATTACTAGGTCTACAATACGAGGACCCACCAGGACACTCAATATCCACCTTGGAGTTCTGACACTACTGGGAGTGACCATGGCACTTCTCAGAGGATACAGTGCTGTGCTCTCCAACAAGGCATTTCATGGAAGTTTCCCCTCCCTTATGGGTCTCAGGCTTGTAGAGCACCACACTGGCTTATTGAAATGTGTTGAAATCAGTTGAATGAGAGATGTCTTGTTTCAGTCATTAGGAGTGAATTGTAATGAGTCCATCTTCATGTTGTTGTTGTTGTTTTTTTGAAAGGCTTCATTTTTTTTAGAGCAGTTTTAGGTTTACAGAAAAATTGATCAGAATTTACAGTTTCCACATAACCCTTCTCTCTGCATCCACACAGTTTGTGCTATTTTTCACATTTTGTATACCTGTGGTCCATATCTTACAATTTGCAAACCCATATTGATGCATTACAGTGGACAGTGCACATTAGTATTGACTCTGTGTTATACAATGTATGGGTTCTGGTAAATGTATAATGACGTGGAGCCATCATTTCTGTATCACATAGTGTAGTTTCACTTCCCTAAAACTCCTCTGTGCTCCATCTGTGATTCATCCCTTCCCCAACCCCCAAATCCTTCACAACCAAAGATGTTTCTACTGGCTCATGCTTTTGTCTTTTCCGGAATGTCATATACTTGGAATCATGCACTACATAGCCTTGTCCCATTGACTTCTTTACTTAGCAATAGACTTTTAATATTCCTCCATATGTTTTCATGGCTTGATACCTCATTTCTTTTTATCACTGAACAGTATTTCATTGTATGGATATTCCACTGATTGTATTTGTCTATTCAACTATTGAAGAACATCTTGTTAAAACTCTAACAATTGCCAAATATGAATAAAGCACCTATAAGGATTGATGTGTAGATTTTGAGTGAACATAAAGTTTTCAACTCATTAGGAAAAATACCAAGGACACATCTTGCTGGATATTACTCTATGCAGCGACACTGTATTTTGTTTTCAAAGAAAGTTTCTGTCTTTCATTGTGGGTGTACCAAATTCCATTTACACTAGCAATGACTGAAGATTACCTGTAGCTTTGCATCTTCACCAGTGTTTGGTGTACTGAATGATTTGAGTTTTACCCATTAAATAAATGTTTAATGATACCTCATTGTTGTTTCATTTGCAATTTCCCAATGACATTTGATATAGAACATGTTTTCATCTTGCTTTTTTCCCATCTATGTCTTCTTTGGTGAGCTATCTGTTCAGATCTTTTGCTCATTTTTTAATTGGTTGGTTTGTCTTCTGACTGTTGAGTTCTTTTGATATTTCTGAACCAGTCATTTAACCAGTAAATGTTTTACAAAGATTTTTCTCTTACTCGGAGAATTATGTTTTTATTCTCTTAACACTCTTTCGCAGAGCAGGAGTTATTTCATTTTAATGAAGTAACATTTTTGGTTTTTTCTTTTGTGGACTTTGCTTTTTGGTTTTGTATCTAAAAATTCATCCCCAAACCCAATGTCATCTAGATTTTCTTATGTTATCTTCTAGGAGTTTATTTCCTTGGCACTTTACATTTTAGATTTGTGATGTGTTTTGACTTAATTTTTGAAATATGTAAGACCTGTGACTACATTTGTGTGTGTGCGTTTGCATGTGGATATCCAATATTTCCACTCCTATTTATTTAAAAGACTTTATTTTTCATTCGAATTGCCTTTCCTTCTTTGTCAAAGATCATTTGACTATATTTGTGTGGGTCTATAGGGAAAGCGTTGACTCACATATCCCTCAACTTTCCTATAATCTCATTAATTCCAGGAGTTAATTCTATTGCTGTGAATTCTTGGAGATGTTTCACAGAGACATTCATGCCATATGAAACAAAAGTTATGAACTTAAGTACAGGATTCATAGAGCTGTTCCTTCTCAAGAAGTACAAGTTCCCCTCTATTACTAGTTTTTTTTTTAATCATAAATGGATGTTGGATTTTATCAAATCCTTTTTAATTTTCATTTCCCTCTCCTTTCCTTTCTGATATTAGTAATTTCTGTTTTCCCCTTTTCTTTGTTATCTTAACCAGGTGTTTATCTTAGTCTTGTCAAACAACCAGCACTTTTTGTTTTAATTTTTACCATTGACTTCCCACAGTGACGTTGATTTCTAAGTTATATTATTTCTATTATTGTGCTTACTTTGGGTTTAATCTGCTCTCTTTTTATTATTTCCTAGGGTAGATGCTTACATTATTGATTACAGACCTTTGGTTTTCCATTGTATTTGTTCAGTTGCATAATTTCCCTCCGGGCCCTGCTTTAGTGCGTCCAAGAACCTTTGGTGTGTTGTGTTTTCATTTCATTTGGTTCAAACTATTTTTTTCATTTCACTTGAGACTTCTTTGATCCTATGTATTATTTAGTAGTGTGTTGTTGAATCTTCACGTATTTGGGGGTTTTCCAGCTATCTTGCTGTTATTGACTCTAGATCAATGCCTGGGTGGTGTGAGAGTATCTTTTTATGATTTCTGTTCTTTCAAATTTGTTAAAGTGTGCTCTATGTCCTAGAATGTGGTTTGTCTTGGTGAATCTTCCAGGTGAACTTGAGAAGAATGTATAATCTTGAGAACTTGAGAAGAATGTATATATCTGCTGTTCTTGTATGAAATATTCCATAGATTACAATGAAATCCAGTTGTTTCACAATGCTGTTCAGTTCACCTCTGTCCTTCCTCAGTTTTCACCTACTGGAATTTATAATTCATGATAAGAGGGTGTTGACTTCTACTGTTGTACTGGATTCATCTATTTCTCCTTGCATTCTATCATTTCTTGCCTCATGCATTTTGCCCCTCTGTTGTTATGGAGGCACACATGAGGGATTGCTGTGCCTTCTGGGAGAATAGACCCCTTTATCCAGATCTTTATCTCTGAATTTTCCTTGGTTTGGAATTTGCATTGTCTACAATTCATATACCTATGGCAGCTTTCTTTTGATTAGTGTCAACATGGTATATTTTTCTCCATCCCTTTACCCTTCATCTATCTGTATCTTTATATTGAATGTGGGATTCTTACAGACAATATATAACTCAGTTTGTTTTTTTTAAAATGTGATATTGCTATATCTTTCAATTGTAACGAGACCATTTATGATTAAAGTGATTATTGATAAGCTGGATTAATATATACCACTTCTTTTACTGTATTTTATGTCTTGTGCTTGTTATTTCTTTTTTGTCTTAAACAGTTTTTCCATCTTCTCTGGCTGAAATTGAACATTTTATCTTATTTTTTCTTCTCTCTTAGCATACCAATTACATGATTTTAAAAACACTCTTTTAGTGGTTGCCCTTCAGTTTTCAGTACACATTTACAACTACCCCACCTCCTCTGCAAACAGAACTGTACCACTTCTCTGTGTGCAAATAACTCAACACACTGTTCCCAATTTCCCCTCCCTGTGTCTTGTCACATTGCTGTCATTTATTTCACTTGGCGATGAGGTTTTCATTACCAAATAAATTGTTGCTAATATTATTTTAAACAAAGTGTCATCTGTTATATTAATTATAGGAAATATAAAATATATTTTACCTTCATTTTTTCTGTGCTAATCCTCTACCTTTATCATTTACATTCTTTCTGATAAATTTTTGATAATTTCATTCAAAGTACATGTACTCATAACAAATTTCCTCCATTTTGTCTCCAAAAGTCCTTCTTTCTCTATTATTTTTGGAAGATAAGTTTGCTCTACAGAGAATTCCAGGAGAGTGGTTTTTTATTTTCAACACTTTAAATATTTCACTCAACTCTGTTCGTGCTTGCCTGATTTTTGAAAATAAATCCAATTTCATTCACATCTTTGTTTCTTTATACCTAAAGTGTGTTTTTTCTCTGGCATTTTTACATGTGTTCTCTGATTTTTCTCTAGTTTGAATATTATATCCTTGGGTGTACGCTTTTGTAGTTTATCATGTTTAGCGTTCTCTAAGATTCCTGGATGTACAGTTTGCCAGCTCTCGTTAATTTTAAAATATTTTGTTGATTATTTCTTCACTTATTTCTCTCTGTCTTTCTTTTCCTTCAGGTATTCCCATTATGTGTATTATAAACCTTCTGTAATAGAGGTTTCGCCTAGGCTTAATGGATGTGTTTATTCTTTTTGTCTGATAATGATATTTATTTCACTGTATAGCATTTCTGTCATTGCCCAACATGCTCTGGATCATGCCATTACAGAGAAATATGATGAAATGTGATCACAGTAAAAATGTATAAATAATTTTCATGTGCTCATGATGCTGTTAAATTGATGAGGAAATGTCTACATAAAAACAGTGAGTTCTTGATGATCACATCAGAGTAATAAGTATTTCGAGATGACAGAATTATAAGTAATCTTCCTACAATGGAGTATAGATCCCAATCAGTGCTGTCAGTCTTACGCATCCTGCTATACAAAAATTTGTGATGTTTTAGGACTCACTGGCCATTGAGGACATTGCTGTGAGCTTCACCCCAGAGGAGTGGGCTTTACTGGATCCTTCACAGAAGAAACTCTACAGAGATGTGATGTGGGAAACCTTCAGGATCCTGGCCTCAGTAGGTAAGAATGAGGACATTCCTTCATGTCATCACTGAGAGAACAAATGTTTCCTCCCCATCAGCATTGTTCCAAGATGGAGAATATGGAAAGGGGAGATGTTGGTAAATAAACTAGAAATTGTCATAGCTTATCACGGTCTTAGAATCTAAAAATTTTTCTATAATTTCTAATACTTTTAAATCAAATTTCTGTGTCTTCATTTCAGGGAAAACATGGGCAGATCATGATATTGAGGATCAGTCCAAAAACCAGGGTAGAAAGAAAAGGTGAGTCACATTCACAATAGAAAGCAGTCTCACATGAGCATCTTGTTATATTATGAAATTTTAAAAAAGCAAACAAAACAAAGAATACTTAATTCAAATTTACCTTTTCTTAGAAAATTTTCACTTTCTGAAAAATGAGGTAGATGTCAGCTTTTACAAAATGGTTCACTTGGAAACAGGATTAATAAACCCTCTATATGAATATCACTGTTTGGATAACAGGAAGGGGGAAGTCCTCTCCCAGAGCGTTTAGTATATTCAATTTCCAAGAATTCAGACAGGCAGAAAACCTAAACTTTTCCTATAAATTATAATAAATATAACATAAATAAAATTATTAATAAAGAAATCATTAATAATGTGCATCTCACTTTTTACAGAAGTCCTATGGTAAAGAGATTCTCTCAAAGTGAAGAGGGTAGTCAATGTGGAGAAAATTTCAGCCTTATTCCAAATCTCAATGTGAACAAGAAAACTACAGGAGCAGAACCATGTGAATGCAGTGCATGTGGAAAAGTCATGCATCGTTCATCCATTGAAAGGCAAGTTAGATGTCACACTGAACACAAACCATATGATTATCAAAAATATGCAGAGAAGCCATATGTACGTAAGGAATGTGAGAAAGCCCTCCCTTTTCCCAGTTCTCTTCAAATATATGAAAGTACCTATAGTGGAGAGAAACCATATAAATGTCAAAAATGCAGTAAAGCATTCACTTCTTCCAGTTCTCTTCGAGTCCATGAAAGAATTCATACAGGAGAGAAACCCTATGAATGTAAGGAATGTGGAAAAGCCTTTACAGCTCCCTCAAGCCTTCGATCACACATGATCTTTCACACTGGAGATGGACCTTATAAATGTAAGGCATGTGAGAAGGCATTCATTTCGTCCAGTGCAATTCAAATACATGAAAGGAGACACACTGGAGAGAAACCCTATGAATGTAAACATTGTAGTAAAGCATTCACTCATCCCAGTACACTTCGAATGCATGAAAGAACTCATACTGGAGAGAGACCCTATAAATGTAAGGAATGTGGGAAAGCCTTTATTGCTCTCACAAACCTTCGAGTACACATGATCACTCACACTGGAGATGGACCTTATAAATGTAAGGAGTGTGAGAAAGTGTTCATTTATCCCAGTTTATTTCAAATACATGAAAGGAGTCACACTGGAGAGAAACCCTATGAATGTAAAGAATGTGGGAAAGCCTTCAGTTTGTACACTAACTTGAAAAAACACAAAAGAACTCACACAGGAGGGACACCCTATGTATGTAAGGAATGCGGTAAGGCTATTATTTCTCTTAAACTTTTCCAAATACATGAAAAAAGTCACACAAGAGAGAAATCCTATGAATGTAAAGACTGCAATAAAACATTCACTTGTCCTAGTTCTCTTCAAATACATGAAAGAACTCACACTGGAGAGAAACCCTATGAGTGTAAGGAATGTGGGAAAACCTTTATAGCTCCCTCAAACCTTCGATCACACATGATCTTTCACACTGGAGATGGACCTTATAAATGTAAGGAGTGTGAGAAAGCATTCATTACTCCCAGTTCACTTCAAAGACATGAAAGGAGTCACACTGGAGAGAAACCCTATGAATGTAAAGAATGCAGTAAAGCCTTCAGTTGTACCAGTTCTCTTCGAAAACATGAAAGAACTCATACTGGAGAGAAACCCTATGAATGTCAAAAATGCAGTAAAGCATTTACTTCTTCTAGCTATCTTCGAGAACATGAAAGAATTCATACTGGAGAGAAACCCTATGAATGTAAGGAATGTGGGAAAGCCTTTACTGCTCGCTCCAGCCTTCGATCACATATGATGCTTCACACTGGAGAGAAACCCTATAAATGTAACGAATGTGAGAAAGGATTCATTTATCCCAGATTCCTTCAAAGACATGAAAGAAGTCACTCTAGAGAGAAGCCCTATGCATGTTAAGAATATGGAAAAGCCTTCAGTTCTCATCAAGGTTTCCAAATTCATAAAAGAAATCATACTGGAAAGAAACTGTATGAATGCGAAAAATGTAGTAAAGTGTTTAATTTTCCCAGTTCTCTTTGAAGATATGAAAGAACTCACACTGGAGAGAAACCCTATGACTGTCAGGAAAGAAGGAAAGCTTTTATTTCTCATGGAAAATTTGAAGATATGCAACAACGCACAATAGAGAAAAAAACATATATATGTAATGAATGTGGGACCCTTGTCATCTGAGTTCTTTCTGAAGGGATAAAAGGAGTTACTTGATAAAAACTTCTTGAATGTAAACAGTATGGGAAAGACTTCAATTGGCCTACATCTTTCTATGTGAAACTCTCACCAAAAAATATATATAAATGTAAGAAATATGAAAAAGCTTGATGTAAATTAACTTGTGTATAATGTTCTAGAAAACTTTCAACATGAAAGAGTTGTTATAAATTTGTAAATATACTGTGTTTAGCAAGCCTCTTTCTTAAAGTGCAACATTGGATTGTGGATGTCTTTTTTTTTAAGGTATGCTTTTGGGTGAGGAAGATTGGCCTTGAGCTAGCATCTGTTGCCAATTTTCCTCTGTTTTATTTTCTCCCTGAAGCCCCAGAACATAGTTGTATATCCTAGCTCTACATCCTTCTAGTTCTTCTATGTGGGACGCTGCCTCAGCGTGGCTTGATGAGCCGTGTGTAGGTCCATGCCCAAGATCTGAACTGGCAAACCCTGGCGTGAACTCTACTGATCCTTGATTTTTATGCATTCAACACTTCTTTCTAGTACTGCAGGACCCCTATTAGGAAGAATTGAAGTATTAAAAAGAAGAATTCATTCTTCAACAGGCATTCTTGCAACACTGTCTTAATTGAGAAAACACTCCCGAGGGTTGCACCTGCCCTCAGCTCATACTCATAACAGGAGTGAAGTGAGAGGGCTCCCAGAATCTTGAGTTTAAATCAGGTTCTGTGGACAGATCTGTAGAAATACTGTAGTAATGAAACAAGATGTGTCTCCTACGTAGGATCTGTCTGGGGACATCCTCATTCATGTCATCAGCATTGTCTTTCCATTATTATCCATAGAGCATTTCCTGCTCTTCATTTCACAGCTGAAGCCTACGCATTCCTGAGTATTGGAAACATCTTCAGAAATCCATGCAGATCCCACTGTGGAAAATTTCCACGAGACAATGCCAGGGGCCTATGAGCTGAGATGGTCACAGGAGCAGTGGTAGAACCCTTGTTATGGGCACATTCTGTCAGCCACAGCAACCAGGAACATTCCATATTTGTCAGATCTGCTTGCTTGCTTATTCAACAATACTTAAACTGAGTGACCTTGAGCAGAGAAATAAATGGCTGTAGAATTTATCAAAATAAGTCAATTTATTAGCATCTCCTTCCACATACCCCTTTCTGAAAAAGGCTTTGCCAGCCTCCTATTATGCATCTAAGAGTCTCCAAACCTTCCACGGTGGACATGAATTGCCCAAGGCATCCTTCTACCAGAAACCATTCTCCTCATCCACTGCCACACAGTTAGAGATGCCAAGAAGGTAACAACAGAGCCTTTTGTAAATACAGGCCCTCCCAGGGCCTGAGTTGATGTTCCTCCACAGCCAGCTTCCCATTTTGCCTTCAGTCATAAATGCAGGACCCCTTGGGCTTGTTAACCAGAGGGTTCCTCATTGAAGAGATGGGTACTTACAGCATAGAGACAAAAATGGCGCTTCTGGCATATCACCCATACAGGAGGAAGTGTGTTCCCCTCTTCTCTGATTAGACACATTGGCCATTTCAGGAGTGACTTGGGAGCACATGAATGACCAGGCAGTTTATACACTTTATGCACAGTGTGCACCACCACACCTGATGGGGTCTACTGCAGAGTTGCTGTGTTCTTTCCCCAGATGAAACAGGCCAGCCCTGATCATGGATTAGATCATTTTGATTAGTCAAACTCCAGGTAATCACGCCAGCAACAGAGAATTCCCTGGGCAAGAATCAAACTAATCTGCATATTTTTATAAAAGATTTGTGGCCTTTGCTAATGATCTAGCTGTCTCATCCCACCAATAGCACCACCTCCTTATCCAAGGTTGCCCCCTTTGCCATGAAGAACTCTGGGATACCTTGCATAACAATATCCAAGTACAAATCAGAGTCACTCCTTACTCTGCACATATTAAACCTCAGTCTGCAGGGGCTCATTTCATTGCTCAGGGTGATAAATTCACTCGAATTTCTGAGACACATACTGACTCCTCAGACTTGATGGTGTTAAACTTGGTCCATGAGACCCTGTGATATGAAACCATTAAGAGGCCTCTAACCTAACGGTCTAGGAGGACTTCCAGAGACTTCCCTCCTCTACCCTGAACTTAGTGACTGTCCAACACAGCAGTCAGTTTCACTGATGTGGAAAACATGTGTCACAGGTAATATAATCCATGCACATTAAGTCCAGGTGGAGGAGGGGTCCCTACAGCTGATGGGATAGACTTTGTCAGGCTGCTCACCCCCTCTGCTGGGCTGCTTGCTACACTCAGACCACAGTAGACCCTTTTATAGACAAATTACTCCTCCTGTCATACATGATCCTGAAGCCAAAATCAAGGACTCACCAACATGCTCTAGAAATTATTGCTATTATCAGCTAATGTCTCAAATATTGGGCTCTTGAGAAAGGCATTCAATGGCTTGTACCTCTCGTGACTCAGGCTGCAGCGCTCTTAGGATGGCTAAGGCTTACTTAGACAAACCTTGCTTTCTTCTAAATAGATGTTCCTGCTGTTGGAGTTACATTCAATCCCCAGACTGTGGGGCTTATTAATTGGTTTTGATCATCAGGATTACGGGCACGTTGTAAGTAGAGCCTTTCTATACTAGGCTCTTCTGTCAGAATGGTCAGTCCTACAGGTCTTTGGTTTCTTGTAATTGTGCCCCATGGCCACCACTCTCATATCCCACTCCGGGTCTTCCTCCTAACATCATCTGTAGTCTGTGCCCTGTGAGTCAATATTTAATCGTGGGTGCTCTCTCTCAAACCATGGGTCCGACACCAATGTGCTGTTTTCCTATCATTCTCACTCATATGTTCATCGTCATGGGAGTCACTGGTAGTGACCTGGGCACACATGATGTCATTCAGCATCATCATTACTACCAACAAAGAAATGTCCAGAACATTTAAAACACATATAGCAGACAGCTAGTGTTTGAGGTGTTTCCCCTGAAGGAAAACCCCCTGGCAGCCATAGTGGCTGCTGACTACTTGGGTTTGGACTATTTATTAACCAGCCAGGGAGAGCTCTGTTCCCTAAAAGGGCTGCTCGCTGCATGTGGGCAGGCTGCTCTGACAGGGTGCCACCAAGAACACAACAAATGAGGCAGCAAATTAGAGTAAACAATAAGATTACTAGAATATTTGAACATAGTTCTTGAACCACACTGACCCACTTTCCTGGATCTCTCCAACACCCTGGGATGACTGGAGTCAAAGATTTTTGGAGGCTTTGTGATCCTACTTATAATGGCTTGTCCTTTTCACATGACTTTTCGATTAATACTGAAATTCAAATTCATTTAATGAGACGTGTCATCATTCAGTCAATAAGCCTCAGGAGTGAACTTTAATAAAGACACTGACCTCACTGTCTTCGCTGGCTTTAGATACCTGCTCAACCTGTCTGGCCCACAATGGGTAAATAAGTCAGGAAGGGTGACACATGCCCATTTTCTTCTTATGCCAATGGGTAGAAAGGTCAAATCTTGAAAACTTGCAGCCTCTACTCCTAGACACCTTAAAGGTTCAAGCCATTCTCCCTTGCACAAGCCACCCCAACGCACTTACCCTTGCCCTGCTCTCCTTAGAAAGTACCTTTGAGTCATAAACATATTTCAATTAACTTGATGCATATGATGACACAGTCTTGACATCCAATCCCATTTTAGGTAGGATATTAATCCTGCCCCCAAAAGGGCAATGATAAATCAAGATAACCAATGGAAAGTGCCTTCTGGGTGAGAAAATGGTATTCAGGTTAGGGAGTTCTTATAAGGTGAGGAAAATAAACCTGAATATAGAGATTCCAATATACAATGTTTTTAGATGCATTTGTTACAAAAGAAAAACTTTGAGACCACCCACCTGGCTCTAGCAGGAGAATTAATGAGTGAAAATGGCATAGTCTCACAAGGGAAAATACAGCAACAGGAGTGAATGGTGGTTTGTGTTCTGATGTGTAAAGAGCTCTGAGTGATCATGTCACCTTCACAGCAAGAAAAAAACTGAACCACCTGAAAAGCAACTCCTCTTCTTAGATCCAAGAGAGATTTGAAATTACATGGCAAACCAACGCTCCCGGCGAGTATGGAGAATTACCACTTACCTGGGGGAGAAACATCTGGAGCCAGCAACATCTAGGAACACAGAAACTGTTAACGATGAATTTCCTGGAGACACAGATTGGACTAGCTTGAGAGTTAAAAGCTTTAGGGATTCCAGTCTTAGTGAAATCCCAAAATCTGTGTTTTTCCATCAGGAGCCCAAGGAGGTTCTTGTGGAGGCTGGAAAAAATTGTCTCATGCTTCATGCAGGAAATGGGGGGAAACTTTCTGATGTACACGGAAAGCATTCTGTGCTCTGTAACTTAGGCCATCTTTCAAAGGAAATTAATTTTCCAAAACCTTATCTGATTGGGAAAGAGCAGTCAGACAGCTCCTAGACTCTTCGGGATTTCTCTCTGACAAAAGGGGAGGAATAAACGCTAAGAACATATTCTGAAGTTCACCATCCAGGGATTCTGTACCATCAAAACATTACAGGTTTAATCATAGCATGAGAACATTTTCCCACCCTAATGCCTTCCCGCATATCAACATGGCTGCAGTGTAGAAATAGTGGGTTAAACAGAGAATTGCAAGAGACAGACCATCCAAGATTGAGTTTCTAGGGACGCGCAAACACACCAGGGGAGAAAACACAAGGACACTTGTATGCGGCATAAGGCATAGTAAGAGATTACAGCGATAAACACCTGTATTAAACAAGAGAGACACCAAGTTAACAAGGGAACGAGAAGAACAACAATAAACTAAACCCAAAGTACTCTGGAAACTACAAAGCATGGTGAAAACAAATTAAGACATGTATAAATAAGTGGGAAAATATCCCACTTTCATGGTTTTCAGGACTTAACACTTTTGAAATGGCACTGCTGCACACAGTGATCTAGAGATTCAGTGCGATACTGATCATAACCCAAACTGTACCCCTTATAGAAATCAAGCTGTTTCATAAATTACATGTAATTGCAAGGGAACCAGAATAGTCCAACCAATCTGAAGAAAGAAAAAGTAGTATGACTAACATTTCTGGATTTCAAAACTTTATACTAAGCAAAAGTAACCAAGGTCATGTGGTACTGATGCAAGGATGGCCACAGAGATGTGTGGAAGATTGAGATTAGAGAAATAACCCCCACATTTATGGTC